CATATTTCATGAACTATTTATCTGATTAGGTTGAAACTTCACATTAATACAAAGCTATATTGACAGATAATCATATTGCATTATTATTACTGCGCACTTAATTATTGTCATGTTATGACGTCATGAATAATTAATGAGGCAATACTTACAGTCCTATAACTATAGAATCATTTGACCGATTGATCTCAAACCTGGCAGTTATACAGACTGGGAAGTGTTACAGATAAAAATTGGTATGTCCGGGTCATGTGACCTCTACTTCCGGTGTCACCGGAAGTGTTAATGTAAGACCCAAATTAGCATATATAATGAATTAGAAATTTGATTGGCTTGCCACCTTATATTAGTATTAAGCAACATTAAAGGATAAATATGTAGCATTATTATTAATGGGCAGTTAAATGTTTTCATGTTATGACGTCATGAATATTAAATGAGGCAATCTTTTCAGTCCTATGACTATAGAACCATTGGACCGATTGATCTCAAACCTGGCAGGTATACAGACTGGGAAGTGTTACAGATAAATATTGGTATGTCTGGGTCATGTGACTTCTACTTCCGGTGTTACCGGAACTGTTAATTTAAGACCCTAATTATCATATCTAATGAATTAGAAATTTAATTGGGTTGACACCTTATATTAGTATTAAGCAACATTAAAGGATAAATATGTAGCATTATTATTAATGGACAGTTTAATGTTTTCATGTTATGAAGACATGAATATTTAATGAGGCAATCTTTATAGTCCTTTAACTTTAAAACTATTCGACCGGTTGATCTCAAACTTGGTAAATATATACACAGGGCAGTGTTATCAATGAAAATGTATATGTCAAGGTCATGTGACCATTACTTCCGGTCTTTACTGGAAGAGCAATTATTTAAGATAATAATTTTAATTTTGAAAGTTAGAGATTTTAGAAAATCTTTACATTATTTTCTACTATCTAACAGACAATCAAAAACAAGTTGGGAACAGCTCTGTGGTTGTTCAGTTACAACCAGATCTAGTTATTATTATTATTATTATTATTTATTTAGCCATTCTCACAATATTATAAAGAACAGCAAGGAACAGCAAAAGTACAAGTACTGTGGTCCGAGGACCTGCTGCACCGTTAAAACAAGCTAAAATAGATTTAAAAAAAATTAAAAACCATTAAAAAAGCATATTATTACATAAAAGCAAGTACATCATATATACATATATAAACAAGCACTAAAACGTTCCATAAGAAAGACACTGACAGAAAAAAAACCCAATGAATTTAAACATGAACCCAAAAATTGAGGGAGATTACCGAGATAAAAAAACACAAAATATGACTAAAACGGGGACGGATGATTAAAAGGCAAAAATACAAAACAATGAATGAATTAAAACAAAAAAATATCTTAGGTGACTTAAGCGGGGAAAGATTACGCGGACAAAAATTACCATGATCAAAAGAATGCTGAAGGATGATGACAGAAAAACAAATGACAGAATGAAAGAAAACAACACTGAATTTAGACGTAAAAACCAAAACTTTTACGAAAGAGAAAAAAAACCCGGCTAGAGTTGAGAAAAGTGCTTAAATAAAGACTTATGATGGAAAAAACCAATGAATTAAAACTCACAAAAAACAAAAAAATTTCAGAGAATATAGGAATTATATATTAAAAAAACTGCATATTATATAAAAAAAAAACACATTAAAAAGACTGGAGCGAGGAAGATGACTACAATTCACTCAGAAGAGCAAACAAAATCTTTCAGGCTTCTTAACCAAGAATTCAGCGAAGTTGTCACAAAATCAATACGAAGCTGTTTAGGCAATTCATCCCAGAGTCTAGGAAATGCATGAATGGGAGAGCAGTGTGAACGTTGAGTTCTAGAGACGAGATGTATAAACCTGACGTCATCAGTATGTCTACAGTTAACCTTAATGTGTCTAGAAACTGCCTCACTGATCACCTGGTTATAAAGGGACTTTGCCATAAACGAAATCAATAAATACTTCCTGCGGGATTGCAGTGTTTGCCAGTTAAGTTTTGTTAACCTGTCCTGATACGACATTTCCATCCTTTGCTGCTTCAGGATTATACGCGATGCTCTTCTCTGAACTCGCTCCAAGTCGTCAATTAGGTTTTGAGTGTGAAGGTTCCACACTGGCAGACCGTACTCTAAAAGTGGCAGAACCAGCGACTTGTACAAGCAAAGGAGAGCACGCGTAGAGATACCCCTGGACATACTCGATAATAAGCCTAGCATCTTGTTGGCACGGGATGTAATATAACGGATATGACTAGACCAAGTGAGTTGGCTGTTTAACATAACTCCAAGATACTTGACTTCTTTAACAATTTCAAGAGATACAGAATTCAATTTATATGTTGGCTGAATGGGATTTCGTTTACCGGTAAATCTAACCACTTTGCTCTTAACTGGATTCAATCTCATCTTATTCTCTACACACCACTGAGACATAATGTCCAAGTCCATTTGCAGAAGGTCCTGATCAGAAGTGTCAAATATTGACCGGTAAATTACAGTGTCATCGGCAAACAGTACACACGATGATTTTAGGCAAGGCGGCAAGTCATTGATGAACATGTTAAACAGTAGGGGTCCGAGAACACTTCCTTGTGGCACTCCAGACGATGCTGTTGACCAGACTGAGTAGTGTCCACGGTACACGACCCGCTGTTGGCGTTCACGAATGAAAGACCGGATCCAGAACCACACGTCCTCAGTGACATTGTAGAGAGATGACAGTTTGCAGAGTAAGACACCATGGGGCATGATGTCGAACGCTTTTGAAAAGTCAAGGAAAATTGCGTCAATCACGGGGGGTGATCGTTGATCCAAAATACCAAGCCATTCACCGGTGATATTGAGGAGCTGTGTAACACAGGATTTACCCTTTGTAAATCCGTGCTGCACGGACGACAGAAGACAGTTATTGTCGAGGTGATAACGGATCGCATCAGCTATGATCCTTTCCATCACTTTACTAGCTATCGATGTCAAGGCCACAGGGCGATAATTGGATGTGGTTGATCGATCACCTGACTTGAATACAGGTGAAATGTTCCCAAATTTCCATGAGTCGGGTAGTTTGCATTGATGTAGAGACGTTTGAAAAATGCGCCGAAGAACTGGGGAAATAACACTGGCCGTCTTTCTCAGAAGTGTAGGTGTTAACTCGTCAGGCCCCGGTGACTTTTGCTCGTTCAAGTCGGACAATAATCGATAGACGTCGCATTCGCGTATTTCGATGGTGCCGAGAGATGGTATTGGAAGATCACATTCAGCAGGCTCCAATGGTAATTCGGCAGACGGAGTGAAAACTGACTGAAAATATGTTGCAAACTCCTGAGCAATGTCTGATGGTTTGTTGATGATACGGTCATTATCGATGAGGACGGGAGGAGCAAGGCTGCGTTTACGGCTACGGACGTACGCAAAAAAACGTTTTCTGTTGTCTGGTAGTCCAAACAAACTATTAACATAGTCCCAGTAAGAGTCATTAATTGCTTTCTTGAGTGTGTTGCGGGCCCGTTTGTACTCAGCCCAGTGTGAGATGCAGTTCCGAGTCGAGTGGCTGGCCCGCCTGAACAAACGGTGCTTTTTGTTAATGAGGCGTTTTATGTCCTGTGTAATCCACGGTTTACTTTGTCTTGAGCGTTTTGAAACACGCGGAACTGCGTCCCTCGAAGGTGACGTCACTTTCTAAAATTCGCTACTGCTACTTCCCTTTTTTTGGGGGGGGGGCGGATTGTTTTGTTTGGGGGGGGGGGCAAAACAAAATATTGGGAGGCTACAGCCCCTTGACCACCCCCCCCCCCCCGTAGAACCGCGCCTGCCTAACATAAGTCAAGCAATAATTAACTTTACACTTAACGCCATCCCCAACGGCCCCACACTGGCTTACAGGCGTCCTCGAAATCTACGGGACTTGATTGTTCGAGCTGAAGTCCCATCCTTAGATGCATCCCCTCCCACCCAGCATGGTACTTTCAAGTGCAGTTCCAGATGTGTTGTCTGCCAGATTCATATCCAGGAGTCCGACTCCTTTTCTGGCCACTCTTCTGTCACTACCCACAGAACCATTGGTAACATCACTTGTAACACCTCTAATGTCATATATCTCATTTCTTGCAAGGTCTGTGGAGTGCAGTATGTAGGTGAGACTAAGAATACGCTCAAGAAGCGTTTCTATGCCCACCGGTCAACGGTCAACACCAAGAAACTAGACACCCCTGTTGGTCATCACTTCAACCTGCCTAACCACTCCATTTCTGATATGATTTTGCAGGGCATTGAATCTCTTGGCCATCGCAAGGACTCAGTTCGCCTCAGCAGAGAGAAAGTGTGGATGAATCGTCTTCGAACTATTCAACCACATGGTCTCAACATCCAACTTGGAAATGATTAATCCTTTTCTTCCTCCATTGTCTTCTGTTGCAGATAATCCATCTGGTCTTCCTTGTTTGTGTTTACCCATCTTCCCCCATCTTTCATCCCTTTCCACCTCAATACTGTTCCCCCCCCCCCCCCGCATCATCCCTTCACTCTCACACTCTTTTGTCCGTTCCCACTTCCTGTGACCTTTGATCCTTCCCCTTTCTGGTCCCTCCCCTGTTTACACCAGACCCCTTGTGGTTTGCCATCTCCCTTTGTTTCTTTGTTCTCTCATCCACCCTCCCCTGCATCTTTCCACACCTTTCCCACCTAATCCTCCTTTTGTGTTTCTTCTTTCAGCCCTGCATGTTTGTGTGCACCCCCATGTTAATGTATGTACCTCTGTCATTTCTGGTTTAGCCTCTGAAGAAGAACTTGCTAAGTTCGCAACGTCAGGCCACATTAATTTTTCCCCCAAGGAAGAGAAAGCCAAATTATTAGAAACTGAAAGGGGAAATCTGTAAGCACTACGTTTGGACTGTGATTATTAATGAAATGTTTTAAAGAAGCCCACACCTTCTTGTCATTAATTAATACAGCCACGTACTTGGATAACACTTCAGGCTGGAATCTTCGCTATGGGTGCAGTCTTCTACACCCCATCCGTTGTGTGGACAACTGTCAAGGCTAGCTTCTGTACCAGTGCAGCTTATACCGTCGAGGTAGATCGGCCCGGATCCGGCACCGTGGGTAGCTGAGCTGTAGGCGTTTGTCGCATACGGGTAGCCCAACTGACGACAGGCGACATTGGCGTCGTTCATGTCCCAATTGTCATCACACACGGTGCCCCAGGCGCCATTATGCCACACCTCCACCCTGCCCTCGTTTGGCGTCGCACCATTCACCAAACGGATTGATACTGCAAGTAGCAAATGAAACAAACACTGACTTTTTTTCTCGTTTCATTAATTGTATAGGCCAGAGACATAATGACGTCACGCTTTGTTTACATGTGCGCTTCCTATGTGGCAGACGGTCCCTACTTCGTCTGGCGTCCCGACTTCGCTCCCATAGGAAAGTGCACATGTCAACATTACGTCATTAGGTCTAAGGTGTATTGAGGATATTGTAGTGCATTTGTTAAAGGTGAATTAAAGATCTGTCCAAACAACTTCGATTGTTGAAACGTCTGCCATTTATTAATTTATACCTTTTCATATCTGCTTGTCAACAATAGGCATTAGGCAAATGCATTTTGAATATACCCACCACCAATTACCCATACTGTACGCACGGTCAGTCAGTTGACAAGTCAGTGAGTGAGTGGACACTACGCTTGCCCTCTGGGACCAACAAAGTTACTCTTCATTCAGTGAAAGTAACCAAAGTCCCAAAAAGTAAGTTCCTTGTGTGTAAAATAACGACTTAATGAATGAAAAGGGCAGTAAGGCCTGGAATGCGCCCAATTGGGCTACAAAACGTATTTTAAACGAAATGGTGGTACATGTACTTTCCGTACATGTAATTGGAAAGAGCATTTACAAGTAGGCGATATACCATGCATGTGAGAACATTTTCTTGCGAAAACCATGCATGTGAGAACGAATTCGGGAGTCAAAATTTTGACTCTCAAAAATCGAGCTGTTGAGTGCTAGATTTGAATCCTGCTGCACAGTTTTTGTATTGGTGCAATGTGCATGTGTCACACACAGAACGTGTATATAACATTGAATACACACGGCTTGAAATACGTATGCATACAGGGTAAGTACAAAAAATGTTCCTTTGGATAAATCCTTGTCTTCCACAAAAACGGGAACGATCGCTTGTTTTCTCCCAAGTATGGTGTTCCATATGTGCCAACGGCGTCGCATTTGTTTGTTTTTTTGGCGTAACCTTTTTTTGGGGGGGGGTCGCCTTTTTTTTTTTTGCGTCGCCTTTTTTTTTTGGCGTCGCCTTTTTTTTTGGCGTCGCCTTTTTTTTTGGCGTCGCCTTTTTTTTTTTTTGGTGTCCCTTTTTTATTTTTTGGCGTCGCATTTTTTGTTTTGGCGTCGAATTTTTTTTTTTGGCGTCGCATTTTCTTTTTTGGCGTCGAATTTTTTGTTTTGGCGTCGAATTTTTTTTTGGGGGGGGCGGCGCATTTTTTTTGGGGGGGGGGCGTCTATGAGGCGCCCTTTATGACTTTATTACGAAACAAATATGTATAGAACGAAACCAATATATATAGAACGAAACCAATATATATTGAACGAAACAAATATTTATGGAACGAAACCAATATATATAGAACGAGAAACAAATATATGGAACGAAAGCAATATATATAGAACGAGAAACAAACATATATAGAACGAAAATCAAATATATATAGAACGTTAATCCAATATATATAGAACGTAACTCCAATATATATAGAACGTAACTCAAATATATATAGAACGAAACTCAAATATGTATAGAACGAAACTCAAATATATATATTTAACGTTTCAATAGGGTGACCGTTTTAGCCGAATTTCGGCTAAATTTGACAGATTTTTTTGGGGGAAAAAGTTTGACAAAAAATCTAGCAGATTGAATTGATTCTAGTAGATTTCTAGCAGAATTCTGCAAAATTGGTGATTTTGACGAGAAAACTGCAGTTTTTGAAGAAAAAAAGTTTCACAGAAAATCTAGCAAATGAATTTTTTTTAAAGCAGATATCTAGCAGAATTCTGCAAAAGAGGTGATTTGGACGGAAAAATATAGCAGAGCTGATTTGCTTGCAAAAAAAGCTTTTTGGCCAGTCTAACCGTTGAGGTACGAGAACACAGTAAAGTACTGTAGACATTGGAAACCAGGCTAGACACGAGCCATTTAAAAAAGAATAATACCTTTTTTTATAAAGGAAATTTTATGATTTTTTTTGGGGGGGGGTTAAAATTCGACGCCAAAAAAAAAAAGGTGCGACGCCAAAAAAAAAAGGCGACGCCAAAAAAACAACAAATGCGACGCCGTTGGCACATATGGAACACCATACCCAAGGGTTATCCAAAGGGGTGTCTGGGAATGTTAAAGTCCAAGATATTTCGGGGGACATGAGACAGTGCAATCTTTACATCTCTTCAAAGCGACTCCGATCACTCGAAACCAATGAAACTTACCCAGTGTGGTTGGCACCAATGTCGTTGTGGGGAGTTCCACTGTAATAGCGGTTCTCTGAATGAAAACATGACAAAAATATAAACATACTATCTTATCCATTACACTTCAAAGTACCAAGTCGAATTAGGTCCCTGTGTTTGTTTTTGATCATTCTTCAAGGATCTTGCATGTAAATTGAGAGTCTGACACAGATTGTAGTAAGAATACAACTAAAATGCACAGAAAATGCCACCCCTCAGTAAAGAACTTGCAAATTAAAACAAATAGATCAGTAAGATTTCGCGACAACAAACAAACATGAAACATTTAAAGTTGTTATATACGTGCTTTTAGAAAAAAAAATGATTTTCTTTCCAGAACGAAATTAAAATGGAAAAAAATGTTCTGCAACAAATAAAGTTGCGTGTTTGTTTTTGCAGGCTTTTATACAGTTTTAAAAATTGGTTTTAAATGGCGCTCTCCAGTTCAGAAATTGCGCACACTATTCAAAACGAATTAGGAGCGTCCCGCTCATTCAAAGGTTGAAATTAATTAATTGATTGTCCGTCACGGGCCGATTTTTTTCGTGCGATTTCTCATTCGAAAGCTCATAACTAATGTAATGCTAGACACTTATCAATTCAATTTAAAAATCCATCAAGGTTCCACACACACAAAGCACGCATACATCAACTTTAATATATCAATAATGAGCGGCAAAACACGTGTCGGCGACTTTGTAAAACACCAAAGATTTGTGTGGACACAGATATAAGGGAAAAGTTCGACTCTTCCCTGTGCTGTTAATTTCAATCGTTCAATAGCTATTTGGCTGAATAAAAAAAACGTTTTCAATTCATATTTTTATGGAAATGGTTGATGGAATAATACTGCACTACTGTTGTGGCGCTCTTATGTAATACCAGACGTGGCGCTCTTATACAAATTCTTGTAATACCCTCCTAATCTTGTGTGGCTATATAAGCACGCCCGTATTCATTGTTCGTTGCAGTTGGCTTCAGGGCGTTGGCTCCGTCATGACTTTCTGTATCATTTTCTGTAGTCATATTAAATTATTTGGAAGCAGAGTTTAAGTTTCCTGTGTTTGGATTTGAGTTGTCCAATGTCTGTTCTTATAAATTCCTAATTCGCTACATCACAAGCATCATAAGAAATGGTGGAAGATCCGCACCAACTCTGTGTTCCTACACCGAGCTTTCCCTGTCCTTCATTCCGGACTCTGACGGCCAACGCCCCGGTCAGCTGCCCTTGCCGGACACGGTTAGTTTTTATTAATTTCAAAGTGGCATCAGTTTCGTAGGTTTCATTTTCTTTTGTAAATAAAGTATTAAAGATTATACTGGACACAGTTGTAGAATTATTCAGTAGTGGCGGATTGTCCAAATTAGTTTCATTTGATTTCTGTGTTCAAGTATCAATCCTTCAATGTTTATGGAAAGCGATCTAGAAGAAAAACCAACAATGTCGGGCACCAAATATGATTTAGCCTCTAGTGGACTAAAATATTTCTAGATTTAGGACTTTGGCCTCATTAAGAGATTTTGCAGATGCAAAAAAAGTCTTGGCTTTACAGTCTCGAATATTTGGCCACGCCCGAATTTGTCTAGAAAGTGTGCCGAATGAAGACAAAAATTCAGTAGAGAGTATCCAAAAGATTTTGAAGAAACATTTTCAAGGTGACTCTTGGGTGTGGCAAGTTGAAACAAAATTGCTTGAACGAAAACAACTACCTTCCGAAACATTGGATGATTATGATTCAAATATTATGAACATGTGTCAACAAGTTAAGAAATCAAGTGCAGAGTGTCTTTCCATATTTGTACGTGGATTATTACCATCCATTCGGGCATTTGTATTTTCCAAACAACCGAAATCATTCCATGATGCTCTTGATTATGCTAGACTGGCTATCTCTGTGCAACAAACAGCTCATGAGCCGGATAGATTGAAAGCAAATGATACTGATCCTAGTGTTTCCGTAAATGCCATCCATTCCACTCTGCAATCCCTTACAGTAACCATGAATTCAATTGCGAATAGGTTGGATAGGTTGGAACAACAGAAGGAACAAAGTCCAAAGAAACCAATTTCACCTGGTAGAGCTAATCCTCAGCAATCCAATCGTTATCCATTCACTTGTCACAGATGTGGTCGCACAGGTCACAAATGGCGGTATTTCCGAGCTACTTAAGATGTCCTAGGTAATCCTTTAAACTAAGGAGCCCACCTGTTTATGTCAAAACTTCAAAAGTTCAAACACCGACAGGTGGGGAAGCCTCAGACAAACAAAAAGAAGGCCTTGTGAATTCACAAGTAAAGAGTAATTCTGAGTGTGTTGAAATGAATTTGAGTTCTTCAAGTACAATTGATGTAAAGATTTATCATGTACAAGTTGAAGCCCTTATTGATACTGGTGCTTCCATTAATCTTATCGATAATGACTGGCTTTTAAAACATCTGCCTGCCATGCACCATTTAATCGAAAAACCTCGTTTGATGAGTGCTAAAACGGCTAATAATTCTGACTTAGACATTACAGGGTTTATTACCTTACCAGTGGCTATGTGTGACACCTGTTTTCAAATAGAATTCCATGTTGTGTGTAGTCTTACCTCACATATGATTCTTGGTTCACATTTTCTAAGCGAACAGTGTGCTAACATAGATTATAGGTCACGTAAACTACGACTTGCTAAGAAAAACCAGTTGCGTGTTCTTAAGAAACAAACAATTCCACCACGCTCTCAAACCGTAGTTTGTGCAAAAGTTTCAAATCAACTTCCTGTAAACACTGTTGGTTTATGCCTTGGAGGTAGACATATTACGTCACTAGGTGTAATGGTGGCACGCACCGCAAGTCAGGTTACAAATGTCAAGGGTCAAGCAAATGTATTGGTCATGAATATTTCTGAAGATCCAATTACTTTGTATCCACGTACCAAACTGGGAACGTTCAATTTAATCGATCCCTGTGAGTTAGTACCAATAACAACGATAGATCTTAAGGAACATGAGGCATACGTTGCAGAAGTTAAAACTTCTTCTGACAGTAACAATCCAAGTTTGAGTGAAGCTGGTTGTGATAAAACAGTGATTTCTGGAAAACAGACAGAAGAAATTCTCTCCAAAGTCATGTTGA